AGGCTAGATGGGGAGGTAGATTGCAAGTTGACTATGTCCTTGCGGATTGCGTCAATCTTGTTGTGAAGATGAGTGGCAATCTCGTGGGCGGTAAGTGAGGTACTGAGTGGAGGAGGGGGGGGGAGAGAGCAGGGGAGTTGAAGGGAGAAGAGTCGGCGAGGGCAGGTGGAGAGGGTGTTGATCAGGTTAACGAAGTAGGCCTGCTTGGCGGCGTGGAGGGAGGAGGTGTAGGTGAGGAAGGCAGATTTGTAGAGGGAGAATGCATGAGGGGACCTGGTTGATGACCTGTAAAGACTTTTAAAGCATCGCCTATCGATAATAAAAATGTATGTACTTTGTTGCCATTGCACGGGCATGCGTAGTTTTAAAGCATGTCAAGTTTGGTATCTATTTACTTAGCGTAACATCATCTTTTATCAAACAATTGGGCAATATATTGTGTTTTTGTGCATTCAAATTCTAAAAAGTGTATTTTTCCCCAAAAGATTTGCGTTTGAAAAATCGCTGTGCAAATACTGTTTGACGTTAAAAATTTCAACACCCCCCACCATTTTATTCTCTAGGGCCTCTGATTTAAAAAAAAAATATATATATATAATGTTTTGGGGGTTCAAAGTAATTTTCTAGCAAAAAAAGGTTTTTTCATGTGAACAAAAAGTGTCAGAAAAGGCGTGGTCTTCAAGAGTGGGTGATGTGTGGCATAAGCTTCTAATGTTGGCCCTGAAATGCCAGGATAGTAAAAGCCTATCTACCCATCACAGTTTCGGAGGCTCTACAATGACAGGATAGTGAAAGCAACCCCCTCAAATGACCCCTTTTTGGAAAGTAGACAATCCGAGGTATTTGCTAAGAGGCATGGTGAGTGTTTTGCAGATCTCATGTGTTGCCACTTTTTTTGGAAAAAGAAGAAAGAAAACAAAAAATTTTTTTTTTCTTTTTCAAAACCCTGTGACAAATTATATCTGTAAAATACTCACCATGCCTCTTATCTAATTCCTTGGGGTGTCTACTTTCCAAAAAGGGGTCATTTGAGGGGGTTGCTTGCACTATCCTGTCATTGTAGAGCCTCTGAAACTGTGATAGGTAGTGGGGAAGTGATATGAGGAAATATGCCCTTTTGAAAGCCTGGAGGTGGTCATTGTATTTGGGGGCTTGTAAGTAGCTAGGCTGCCAAAAAGTCTCTCAAATGTGGTATCCTATACTCGGAAGGAGTAGGAAAATGTGTTTTGGGGTGTTATTCTACATATACCTATGGCATGCATGAGCAATATATCATTAAAGTGACAACTCTGTGAAAAAATAAAAATTGTCAGATTCAAAAAATTTGTGGCAAAAAATAAAATGTTCCATGGACTCAACATGCCTCTCTGCAAAATCTGTGGGGTGTCTACTTTCCAAAAAGGGGTTATTTGGGGGGGGGGGGGTGTGCTGCCCTGGCATTTTAGCACCTCAAGAAATGTGATAGGCAGTCAGAAGAAAATAAAAGCTACGTAAATTCCATTCCAATATATATACCATAGTTTGTAGATGCTATAACTTTCACACAAACCAATTAATAGACATGTATTAAGATTTTTTTTTACCAAAGACATGTAGCAGAATACATTTGCGTCTACATTTATGACTAACTTTGAGTTTATTTTTATTTTTTATAGCTAAAAGTGAAAAATATTGGGGGTTTTTCAAAATGTTTGGTCTTTTTTTGTTTATAGCAAAATAAAAACAGCACAGGTGATCAAATACCACCAAAAAGAAAGCTCTATTTGTGTGACAAAAGGACATACATTTTGTTTGGGTACAGCATTGCACAACCGCGCAATTACCAGTTGAAATAGCTCAGTGCCAAACAACAAAAAATGGCTTGGTCAGGAAGGGGGGTAAATCCTCTGGAGAGCAAGTGGTTAAAGAATGTAGTCCAAAACTGCACTCAAAAGAAGCCTTCTTAAAATCTTTGCAACTTGTGATGGTTCTGTCCCGAGTTATTGTGGGGACCAGTATGCTGCAGTGTCGCAGAGCTCATCAGAGATGCGGTGTGTTTTTCTAAAAAAAAAAAAGATTGAACTTGACCTTACAGCACAAAACTGAGTTTGTGATGTAATTGTCTTTTTGCAGAGAACTAGGAAGGGTTGAAGAGCAGACACCATCATTGAAGTCAGTGAAGTTCTAATAACCATTTTCTGGCAGTAGTTTCCTTAACCCCTTCTCTCCCAAAGTATGTTCATGAATGGGGCAGTGAGCTTACTATTGCCTTTTTAGAGCTGGAAAAGTTTTCATTTGATTTGTGGTAAATTCGGATAGTTCTTACTGCTGCCATTTTAAGAACATGTTGCAGTGACAAGGACAGATTCTTAAAGAATTGCAGACTAGGAAACCGACAGCAATTAAAACCAGCTCTGAGCTGGCCTACAAAGGGCATGTCTGTGCTGGGATGCTGTTGTATGCGACAGCCCCAGCTCCATTCAGCTGTCAGCCAGGAGATCCACCAATCGAAAGGTAAATGTAAACAAATAGGTTGAGGATAACGGTAATGTCATTACCTAAATATGGTTTGGGAAATTACTTGTCATTGAGTGGATGAAGCCTGATTGGGAACTCAGAGATGAATTCCCCATCAGGTCCGCTTTACTTTTGATTGACGACCCATGGTAGTGGTCGGATTTGAAAGTCCATATTGGATTGAATAGCGTCTATGGATCCACCCACTGGCATGTGCTGTCAATCAAAAGTAAAGCAGATCTGATGGGGAAGTAGTCTCTCAGAAGGCTTGTCCCTTTACAGGTACCGGAATCGGGTGCAAGCACCAGCTCTTTGGGTGCTGCACCTTGACACACTTTATTGATTTCCAGCTTGTTTCTCACTGTTTATACTTGCATTGTGAATCCTTGTATGATAAAAAAGGGTTATGTATTTCCAAAATAAGTCCCAGTTACTTTGGCTTTCAACAAAAAAAATTGAGAGAAAATGCAACACTTGTGAAGAGCTGGACTCTGGGATAAGCAAATATTGATTAAATTTAAAAGGCATATATATTCTTACTTAAATCTGGGTGTGCTTTTGTTTATTTTTTCAATATCGGTGTAGTAATTAAGCATAATATTTTGCCACTGTCCAGGAGCTTCCCGTAATAGACTGGTCACTGCTACTCCGTCTGCTTTGTGCAGGCTGCTGGTCTTCTATCTGTCTACTCTAGTTTTCTACAGACAGCCTGTAATGGGTGGGCCTGACAGGTTTGTTCCACAGCTCTGCTCCCTGCTCAGGCATGCAGCATAGTGATGTTGGTGCAACTTTTACATGGTAATATCTGTGATTGTAAAGGCATTTTGTGCACAAAAAGTGGATTCATATTCTTTGTAGGTATTAAGGAATAATAAAAGATTTTTTTATTATTTTATATTCTAAAAGCTTTAATAAAAGCGGTGTAAACTCTTACCAGAAAATTGTGCACGCATACAGGAGTCACATCACCATGGCACACAGCAGGTGTTGTCTGAGCTGTGCATGCGTGCTTCAGATCATATTACCACTGACAGGCAGGGGGAGCTATTTATGACAGAGGAGACCACTAGGAGGATCTCTTCTGTTGTGAAAACCTTGCCTGACGGCGTTTTATTCCAAATTTGAGTTCAATACCACTTTAATATTTCTGTGCTCAGAGTTTTAGTGGGACTGTGTTCTATCCAATTATTCTGTAGGATTGAATTGTTTTCTTTAAAGTTGAACTCTAGGTAAAAATGAGTTACCCTTGCTGTGGGGCTCCCCCAGCACTATAAGTGTTAGAGTGAAAGAGAAGTTTAATCTTAATATTGTTCCCTCCTCCTACTTATTTTGCCTAGACTCTATAGAAAAAGATGCATGTACTTATCTTTTTTATATGGTTTGGTCACATGCAGCTCTGACTTCCCTGTATCTGTGAGCGACTGATGCAGGAGTGAGGAGAGAGTGCCAGCAATTGCTGAGCCATGGGAGCTCCTGGAATTCACAGCCTTTGTTGAGCACGCCTTTACATATGATCAGTGCAGATTGAAAATAGGTAAGCACACTGATATTTTTTATATAAGTTAGGCAGGATAAGTCGATGGAGTAATTTTACGAATAGTTAAAAATGCGGTTTTCTTTCATTTTAAATTCTTGTTTTTGTCTAGTGGAAACGGCAGTTTTACTTACCTTATCCCTACTGCAGCCAGCATTTTCCTCTTCTCTCTGACACTTTGGATTGTGGGCAGGACCTTGGCTTCCACTTACAGTGCAGGACTGCTGGACCTGTGTTTTACCTAATGACATTGGAATGCCTGCAACCAACGATGTGGCAAAGAAAAACAGACTCGGTGACTAGACCAGCAGACCAGTTGTACAGCTGTGGGGAAGCTTGCAGCATTGGGGATAAGATAAGGAAACATTTTTAAGTTACCCGTAGACTAAAATGTGCTCCACTGCAGGGGTAACTTTTGTTTTTACCTGGAATTCAGCTTTAAGGTCTATTTAGATCTTAAAGAATATATCATCCTGTACTAACATGTGCCTTTTATTTACTTTTAGAAATGGAGCTGAAAAAATTAATAACTGCCACAGATACCCAATACTCTGGCTGTCTGCTCCAGGCTTTGAACGACCAGCGGCTGCAGGGCTTGTACTGCGATGTTACCGTTATTGTAGAAGATCGCAAATTTAGAGCTCACAAGAACATTCTTTCTGCATGTAGTACTTATTTCCACCAACTCTTCACCGTCGCTGGGCAAGTTGTGGAGCTGAATTTTATCAGAGCTGAAATATTTGCAGAAATACTTAACTATATTTACAGCGCCAAAATTGTACGTGTCAAAAGTGACATGCTGGAAGAGTTGATAAAGTCTGGAAAATTGCTAGGTGTTCCCTTTATAGCAGAACTTGGAATCCCTTTGTCACAAGTGAAAAGTATATCTGGTGGAGTTAAAGACAGTAGTGCAGATCAGTCAAAAACTGATGAAAAAACACAAGAGTCAATGAAAAACACAACTAGTGCAACCTTGACCAAAGCTCTTGGGGTGTCTGTATTGCCAATGCTTACAGAAACATTTACTGTATCAACAAATTCTGATGAGTCAAATGATGAAGATTCTGATGATGATGTGATTTTTTGCTCTGAGACTTTTGCACCTCCCAAAAAAAGTTCTATAGAGAAAAAGGAACCTGTGACTCCACCAATTCCTGTTACTAGTGAACAGCCGCCCGATGCAAAGAAACTTAGTCCAGAACCTGGCCAGCAACAAGTTATCCAAGATATTAAACCTGTAGTCCAACCTTCCCCAAAACCAGCAGCTCCAGTTCCAAAGGTTACAACACCTGTTGCTCCTGCTGATACAAGTTTAAATCCACCAACTCCAAGTCCACCTGCAACTAGCAATACTGCACCTCAGCAAAACTCTGGCACAGCTGTTGCACCAGTCCAATCTCCTTCAGATGCCCCCTCTTCTTCTTCTTCTTCCTCTTCTTCTTCTTCTGCTTCTTCAGCTACACCTGCACCAGCCGAGAAGCCAGTTACAACTAATCAAAGCTTACCAAAACTGCAACCAGTTGGTGTTGTTCATCCCAAATCAGAGCTGATCTTGGATGCAGATTGTATTTCATCTCCTCCTCCTTCTTCTGTCATATCTGTAGGCCAGCCAACAATTACACACAAAAACATATCCTTTGATGGGGTGCAAAAGAAACAGGTGGTAACCGTAAGCCCTGGATCTTCATCAAAGCCTGGAGAATTCAAAATTAAAATTGCAGATGTTGTTTCTGGGAGCAGTAAGGATTCTTCTGAACCTCGGAGAATAATGGATGGGAAGAAGATCATAACATTAGACACAGCTTCTGAGATTGAGGGCCTTTCAACAGGCTGCAAAGTTTATGCAAATATTGGTGAAGATACATATGACATAGTGATTCCCATCAAAGATGATCCTGAAGAAGGTTTAGCTAATCTGGATGAAGATGGTTTACCAGATCGTAAAAAAATGAAACTAAAAACATGACGATCATTATGAGCTAATAGTGGATGGGAGAGTCTATTATATTTGTATTGTGTGCAAGAGATCATATGTTTGTCTTACTAGTTTGCGAAGACACTTTAATGTTCACTCATGGGAAAAAAAATACCCTTGTCGTTATTGTGAGAGAGTCTTTCCACTTGCTGAATACCGTACAAAGCATGAAATACACCACACAGGAGAGAGAAGATATCAGTGCTTGACTTGCGGTGGGTCTTTTATAAACTACCAGGTCATGGCCTCGCACATAAGATCCGTTCATAGTTTGGACCCTGCTGGAGATGCAAAGCTTTACCGTTTGAATCCATGTAAGACATTACAGATAAGGCAGTATGCATACGTAAGTGATAATAAAAATAATGTACCTGTCATTAGTGATGGTGGGATTGTGTATAACATTGACCCAGATAAGTCACAACAGGATTCTGAAGAGAATCACTCTAGCAATGGGCCAAAGCCTGTGAACTGGGATGATATATTCCTTCAGCAGTCTAACCAGAGCATGTTTAAACCAACTACTTCTGAAGGCAGCACTGAATTTGAATTTGTTATACCCGGAATCTTATTAGACCTTACAGAAGCTAAAATTCAAATGAATAGGATCGGACATGACTTTTAGGTACATCACAAGTAATGCTCAGTTTCTATTTCAACTATATAGTTGATATATCCTGTAAAGATGCATTGTTTTCAGTTTTCATTGCATTACAACCTGTATGTGAGGGCATCTTACTTGAACATCCAGTGAGGCAGGAATTGGCAAGAAGCCTTGAAGTAGTTTTGCCAGTTATTATTCCTATATATGTAAAGGCAACAAAAACTATCCATGTATTTATTACATTGACATCATGTTGCATTTTGGCCATTGAGGCATTTCCAGTACGTATAGACTTAGACAATTGGTTATGAATACTGTACGTATATTTGCACTTTAAAGTTCATCCAGTTGGCAATTTGGTGTGATTTTTTAGCAATGTGTACAATACATTTTTTTCTGTTTAGCTTGGAAACATAATGGTTGTGGCAGACCACTGAGGGTTCAAATTCAGAGGTTTTACATTCTCTTAATAATTATGGATCTTTCATAGTAGTTAATTCTAACTTTTGTTTCCCTTCATAATTCACTCTACAGATATAGATATTTCTCTCAGACTCCGCTATTAAAGTGCCAGTAAGCTTAAGGTACATCTTGAAATATTTATTCCTAATGACATACACAATTGCATCAGAGCTTATCAGAGTTGAATGTGCTTAATGATAGATTCTACTCTTGGGAGGAGATTCATTCCTTCCACACAAGAAACTTTCTCTCAGAAACAGTACTTCAGACAGCCAGGTGTTGTCTGATAGGATTTCTAAACAAAAACAAATTGTATTATGAAACCTGACAGTTGTAAGTAAAATATATCAACTTTTGCTGAGGTGGGACATTTTGCACCGCTTCAGAATTTTAGCAGTTTAAAAACAAAAATTTAGTGCTGGGTTTTAGTGACCTTGTTTAGAGTAAAACATTAAAATTTTAATTGTGGCCCTAAAAAAATGTTAGACGAGCTGTAAGTGGACTTTTGTTCTAGATCAGTTTTGGACATTGTTGAACTTTATTTCTTTCAAGAAACGTCTGATCACTACAACCTGTCCACATATCTATACAAGTACTGGGTAGGCATCACATTATTTTCTTTGTTATATTCATTTATAACATGAGGGTTTTTATTTTTTTTTATTATTATTATTATTATTCAGCAGCACATCAGGGGCATTTATATAACTCATTGGGCATTGTCTGTGCTTGGGGGCATATTTATTAAGCAGTTAATCAGTCATTCACTGCAGGTGACTTCTCCAGCATATGTTTTGTGACAGTGCTTGGTTCACCTACAGTAAATGTTTTGTGAACGTCACATTCGTTGCTTTTATAAATATGTCCTTTCGTGTATATTTGTCCAAGGTGAATATTTCAATGGTATGACTTGTTAAAAAGGCAAATATTTGTATTTTATAAAAGCACAAAAATACCAAGTTTTCATCATGTGATGGTTATATAAATGTGCCCCGCTGTACTTTAGCAGGCTCCTATGTTTATGATCCGCCTTTGCTTAATGCTCTTGCAGTTATTTAGAGACAGTGCTATGTATATTTGAAGAGGTGATAGAACAGAAAGTATATCAAAACCACTGTAGTAAAAATACTTTTTTGTATGTAAACTTAAACCAGTGACTCCTTCCAATCTACTTTTCTCATCTTTGCATAAACTAAGGTTGAAATAACTTTTCTAAAAGGTGGTTTCTGGTTGTTTGAGTCATTTGAACCATCAAGTGTTCATCAGGCTTAAATCTGTGAGAGTAGCTTGAATTCTGGAAAACAGCAGGGCCACATTTCATGTAACTACTTTTATCATCAACATTATTATAAGATGCTTTTTCATACTGGACCAATTCCTGTCTACGCTTGGTGATTCTTTATAAGTGTTACACATTTTTTTTCACTGGAATACAAAAACCTAAATTATTTTTATATATATTTTTGTTTATGTAGACATGGGATACAGGTTCTTTGTGCTGGTTTCCCATTACAGTTTTGTTCTAGGTAGAAATGTTTTGTTTTGTTGTTTTGTTCCTTTTTCTTTTTTTTTTTTTCTTCCAACTGCACTGGTTAGACTTTTGATTCCCCAGTCTTGATGCTTTTTCTAAATAGTCCAGCATTCCTTTTTAAAGAGGTTGATGTAAATGATCATGAAAAAAATATTCACCAAATACTGGTAACGTTGATAGCTTTGTAAGTAGGTTAATCAAATTGGCTTTTTAAATAACTTGAAGGGAGAAAATATTAAAATGTATGTTTATAATTTCTCTGTGTGTAGTAGAGCCATTGTACAAAGATTAGGGACAATTGTCAATATAAAAGAGTATAAGCTAAAATAAAGGATGTGGGCTCTTTAAATTCCTTTTAGTAAAATATTTACTAAATATTTTTTCCTGAAAATCATGGTAAGGTTCGGCAAGTTTAAAGATAGGGAAGTAAACTTTTGCTTTCAGCATTTCAACACTGTAGCGTTTGAGAGGGTTTATAATAAACTCCAATTAAGCATTGTGGGGAAATTTACTGAAACTGGAGCCGCGGTGCATAGTAACCAATCAGCTTCTAACTTCAGCTTGTTCGGGTAAAGTGACATTAAATGATATTCTTATCTTCCACAAATAATCCATACACATTCACTACTTAAAGTGGAACTTCACTCTCTCAATCAACATGGACTATTTTTAATCCTTATACTTCTAGCATTAGTAAATAGATAGGAAAGTATATCATTTCATTTTTAAATTTTTTTTTTTTTACATTTCTTTAGTTACATTCTGGTATTATACACCCCAGCAGTCTTCAGGAGGGGAGGGTTCTGAGCTCAGCCTATGTCTGAGCTAAGGGCAAATGGTTTCCAGGAAGTAAGTTCTACATGAATCATTTCACCTTATTCAAGATGCCACAGCCAGAAATGCCAGGGGGTGTTTTTCTCAATTTCTCAGCAAAATAAAGCATGGAGACATGGATGGATAGGGGAGTTTGCTTTGAATATTCAAAATAACTGAAATAGCATTTTTGGTCTACGGTGCTCAGATGCAGCGCAGTTCCACTTTAATGTAATCGATTTTTCTTGAAGTTGTTTCTTTTTGTGTTTTTCTGCTTCTTCGTAACATAAACTGTGAACTCCTGAACCTCACCTTCTGTTTGTTTGGAATGAGCAGGGCATGTTGAGCTCTTGTGCACTGCTCAATGCACACTACACATCCTCCAGTTTATAGTTCCTAGTTCATCTCAGGAGCAAGCAAGAGATGGTGGCTATGTTCCTCCATATTGTGGGATCATGGAGATCTAGCAGGAAGTTGAATTACAGGGGCAAAAACAGAGCAATTTGGGAGAGGCTGAAAGCAATAGAAGGTTTTTTTTTTATGTTAATACATACCAAAGCTGATTGGTTGCCATGCACAGCTGCTCCAGTCGTAGTAAATTTCCCTGTTTTTAGGATTCCTTAGATTTCAATAAAAGTATTGTATACATATTCTAAAAGATATTAGACTGTGTCCCATTAGTTATCGTGCTGTTGGCATTTTAAAGATCTGAAACGCTGTATTCGTACATGAGCAGACCTTGTGTGTTTCGGTAGTAGTGGTTACTAGTTTGTAGTTATTGGAAAGATGCTGACATTGTTTGAAAAAGTCTCTGACTTACAGAAGCCACATTAGTCTTTCCCAAGACATTTGTTTAACAGCCTGATTTGTGTGACCAAAAACCTGGCTGCTAATTCTTCTTGGATGTGTCTTCACAGGTTTGCTTTCAAAAATCAGAAACCTATAGCTTTGATGTTTCTAAGCCAAGTATATCTACAAAGACTATGTTGCAGTAAGAATGTACATTTTGAATGGTTTCTTGGTCTAGAGTGCATGATTATTTTGAAATTAACTATTAAAATTAAAAATCACTTTTTACTTTGACCCTGTTGAGCCTGTGGAGAAGCATAAACACTAACGGACTTAAACGCCAAGTTCATCTTTTCCAGAAAATAACCTATGTAGTCAAGGTGCCCCAGTAGTTCTAAAAAAAACTGTGCAGCTTTGTAAAATATTACTTACTCCCAGTAAGCAAACCTTCACATCCTGTCATATTGCTAGGATTTGAAAACCATTTGTTGCTGGGATGTTGAGAGTGGGTATCCAGTTGTTACAAGCCAGGACATGAGGGATGTTAAGTGGGAGCTTTTTAGCCAGGTTTCTGAAGTGATCCAAATGGCCTTAAAAGCATAACCATAATAGTAATGAACATTGTATAAAGCCATCTTTTAATATCTACTGCGGCCCCTTGACTGCATAGGCTGTTTTCTGGAAAAAGTGAACTTTAATCATTATGAAGTGTGTATTATAAAGTGCCAACACCAACTGAAATTTAACAGCTGAAATGTATACAGGAAACAATCTACCTGCTCATATTTTTCATATCTGTAGTGCACTAGTCTACCCTGCTGCCTTTTGCTGGCTCTTTGGTTATCTAAAAACCCTTTTTTTTGCAAGTTTGTAATGCAGTAAAGAAATTCCCAGACTCTCCCA